ATTCCGCTAAGTGTCATGCTCACATCTCTTTGGAGGTTTAGAAGTGAACCCTGGGGATTATTCCTTCAGGGCCACTCTGGACTTATCTATTAGCCTTCACCCATTTGGGGTTCATGGCTAGGTTCTGCTATCAGGGCATAGCTCTTAGATGCCGGAGTCTGGGAACCTCAGTCTTACCCAACACCTTGGACCCATAAGCTCCAAGGTTTCTTGGTCTGAGAGTGGGACTCAGTCTCCCCTCAACTCCTGCCTGAGTCAATCCTCTAAGAATTCTTAACCACTGCAAAGCAACCTCCTCAAAGACAGTTTTATATGATCCTCACCCAAACTAGAACACAAGGAAGAAACCAATGGATGGTTTAGGAGATCTGGTTCTACTACCTGGGCCTCAGTTTACTTTAGTAAGAGGGGCCTCAACTATTCGGGGTCCCAGACCCCCCATCCCTACCTCCCCCAGCCATCCGGGGTAACCGCCAGGCTCTGGTGCCTAGGATAACGCCCAGCCCTCCCCTCGCCTCCTGTGGCTGCCTCCCCTTTCCGTCTGTTGAGAGAGGAAGCCGGGGGGTGGCGGGTGCAGCCCTGCAGGGCACTGATAAAGGTCCAGGCCTGCCCCCGCCCCCTGGGGCCACTGCGGTCAGACCAGCAGGCAAGCAGGCAAGGCAGCCATCTCCCTCTGGGACCCATGGCCCTCCCCTGGTTCCACCTCTACTTACCCCGCCCTACTCGGGAAGCTGGTTGCATAACCCAGTGGGGTGTTTGGCAACTTGCTTGTGGCTTGACCTGATGCTGGTGGTGGTGTGCACATGCGTTGGAGTGAGGGTGGGGGGTGGATTCATCAGGGGTGACAAGTCAGCCTTCTGGGGATAGGTGAGCAGCATGGATGGAGAATGGTCTAACAGTAAAGATCTGTTGCTATGTTTTTCTCCATGTTCTGTCTGCTACCTTTGCTGAAGGGGGAGAATCTTGAGATAGGAAACTCTCAGGTATCTTGCCTTGCCAAGCCACAGGCACGATCCAACCCATTCAGGCTCCTAATTCCCTGTTAATCGTAAATTAAGGCAAAGACTTAAGATAGAAGGTTGTTGACTTTGGGGACGCCCAGGCGGCTCAGTTGGTTAAGCATCCGACTCTTGATTTCAGCTCAGGTCATGATCTCACGGTTTGTGAGTTCAAGCTCGGCGTCAGGCTCTGTGCTGACGGTGTGGGGCCTGCTTGGGATTCTCTCTCTCTCCCCCTCTCTCTCTGCCTCTCTCCAGCTCCCTGCTCGTGGTCTCTGTCTCTCAAAATAAATAAATAAACATTAAAAGAAGAAGGCTGTTGACTCTGGACATCGGGAATCTGAGAGGCGGAAGCTGAAGGAATCATTCCCACCCCTGAGGGCTGTAAAGGATGCTCTGGAGGCAGGACACAGCCTGGGAACAGCTGTAATGGCCTCTTCCTACAGGAGGAGAGTGGGGGAGAGGTGGGAGAGACACTTCTGTCTGGCCAGTCGCCTCAGTGAAGACTATCTGTTCACTCGGTTTGCTGTACATGATCGTGTCTGTTCCCCTGAAATAAGTAGGAAACTGCTTCCCTAGCTTGACTTTCAAGTCTTTACAATCTAGCTCCGAACTTCCCAGGCTTCTCTTCCACTGCTCCTACCCCACACCCCACCCTAGTAGACCCAAAGTACTATTTCACATTTTATGCCTCTGTTCCTTCATACCTTTGCTTGGAACACCCTTCTCCCCCTCTCTGTCTGGTGAACCCCTAGTCATTCTCCACAGCCCAGCTCAATCGTCACCTCCTCTGTGAAGCCTTTCCTGAATTTCACAAAGCAGAAATTCGACTCCACGGCACTTTATTTTTTTTTTTCATTTTTTTTTTTTAACGTTTATTCATTTTTGAGAGACAGAGACAGAGTGTGAGCAGGGGAGAAAGCTGAGAGAGAGAGGGAGACACAGAATCCGAAGCGGACTCCAGGCTCCAAGCTGTCAGGACAGAGCCTGACGCAGGGCTCGAACTCACAAATGGTGAGATCATGACATGAGGCAAAGCTGGACGCTTAACCAACTGAGCCACCTAGGCGCCCCCAAAGCACTTTATATAGACCTTTATTAGTGTCATTCCCCAACTAGACTGTGAGTGAGGACATAGACTATGTCTTATTCATCTTCGTGTTCCTGGAGTATAACACATAGCAGACACTCAATAAATATTTGTTGAATGAATTAACAAGCGATGAGGCTTGTGTTATCCACAGTTGTATCTGCAATGCCACAAGTGTGGCCTGAACCGGTAGTTTTCATTCAATAACTGTTGACTAGCTGTAACCTGATATCATTATTTAATCAGCCACCAGTGTGACTATCGCCACCCTTCATCCCCTCCGAGGGGCCAGAATAAGTATGCCACTGAGACAGCTGTGTCTGAATGCCCAGATTCCAGGTATGTGACCCAGATTCACGGCCAGGTCATCAAGAGATTCCGGACCCACATGTGCCATGCAATGAAGCCGTGGGTCCCCTCCTGTCCTACATAGATCATGCATGTAGAATCATCATCTCCTGGGCTAGAGATGGAATCCAAAGCATGTAACCATGGGTTTGGGGTGGGTGTTGATCAGTCCCACACACACAGGCTGCAAGAAGGATGCAAAGAAGCCGTATCAAACTGCCGCTTGAGTTGCTTGCTTGTGCTGCTGGCTGTGGAAGGTCCTAAGGGAGAAGTGGGGTTGATGTAGAGCTGTAGGGGTGGGGAACACTTGGAGGAGGACTCCCAGCAGCTATGCGTTACCAAAGGAAACAGAACATTCCCATTATTTTAACAGTGAACAGGAGCCTATCAGAGGATGTTGGCTGGGTGCCAGCTCTGCCTTGGGGTGACACCTGTCTGCCTCCCACTCTTTGTTTCCAGTATAACTTGAACATTATAAGGAGAAAAAAACAGAGAAAAAGCCTCAGCTGCAGCTGTAAGGACTGAAGCTAGACATAGGAGGGACTTTCCTGACAGCTAAGAGTCAGTAAAAGTAAGCTAGGAGGAAGGAAGCCTCTTCTAGTCTCCAGAGAGAGATCTGTTTGGCCTGGGTCTTGGGTTGTGTGTTGGAGGCCAAGGGATGATGGAGTGACTTCTGGGAGTACTTAACTGGCCTCAGAAAGAGCTGCTGTGGGTGCTGGGGATGAACCTGATACCCTATACAGGTGTCCTGGCCTGTCCAGAGTATGCGGCTGCCATGTGTTCGGGTGCCCGGCCTGGCACCCAGGGCCCCCTTTAAGAGAGGTGAATAGTGTCCCTTCTGGGCGCCCCCACACACATCCAACTCCCCTCACACACTGACAACAAACCTGGCCAAGAAAGAGGCCTTTGTCCTAGGACATCTGAGGCTGCTGGGGGAGGGGAGAGGGCTACAGGTGAAAGGACACATCAAAGCAGCAACTGCCCCTCCTCCCCAAAAGAGCTCCCCTGCCTCTTTCCCAGAACCCAGGCTTTCCTTAAATAAAAGCAGCGCCCTCCATGCCCACCTGCCTAAGCAGCTGGGACACTAGACATTAGGTCCTTATCTTTCGCTGCCATCCACCTCGCTGTGACTCAGTTTCCCTGTCTCAGAGAGAGTCAAGAGGGCAGAAGGAAGGAGGTTGCGACCTGTATAAAGTTTAGAGGTCACTTTGGAGCAGGCTACCGGGCTGGAATTCATCCTGTGCATAGGAGAAACGCAGGCCTGGCGGGACTCCTGGGCTCAAAAGGAGGGCTGGGAGCCGCTGGGAACCGTGTGTGCCCCCGCTGGCCGGGGAACAAGGTGGGGGCGGGGTGTGGGCAGAAACCACACCGGGCTCAAGTTTCCTCTCTTGGCCAGAAGGGGCAGGAGGAGAGGAGGGCCACGGGGAAAGGGGAGGGTTGGAGGAAGGACGGAGAACTCAGGCCGAGGGCTTCACAGTGGAGGCTGGTGCGCCGCCCGGCGCTCTCCCTCCATACTCAGTGCTCAGTAATGGCCCGGGGGCGGGGCGCAGCCCTCCCCCGTTTTCAGAGGTAGCAGAGATCCTCACCCAGGAGGTGTCAGCCCAGGCCCAGCCTCCCCAGAGACAGCACCCCGGAGCCACATCTCTCTCCTCACTCTGCTTGGACCCTGCACAGGTGCCTGACGGGAGGGGTGGGAGGGGGATTTCAGTGGGTTCCCCCGAGGGGTGAGCTGGGGAGGTGGAGGTGGCAGAGGGAGAAAAGAACCAACTTTCCTCACGTCCCTAGGAGATCTCAGGGCTTCCCAGGCTGCCCCGGGTTTAGGAATTTGACATCTTTGGGAATTCATCTGGGAGAAGACCTTGATGGCTTCTGGAGCACTCTGAGAGGCTTGGGGTGAGAGGCTGTAGATGGGGACCAGGCAGAGGTCCTCCGAGGCACCTCTGAGGGGCTGAGGCAGAACCCTTTGGCAGGGGGCTGCCCCTGGAGAGCCGATAGACTCTCAGGTATATGGCACCGTCCTTCCCTACTCCCGTCCATCACTGCCCTGTCTGGCTAGCTGGGAAGATTTGGGGGAAGGTGAGGAATCGGAGACACCGGATGCCTGGATCGCTGCCAACCACGGCAGCAGGATGGAGTGGTGGGCGCAGGGCTGTTGAGGTCTTGCCTCCTTTTCCCCCCTCACTTCTCCCAGGCCCCCGGGGCAGTTAGAGATCAGCTGGAACCAGCAGGGAGAGGAAGGCATCTGGCCCCCAGTGCGGTTCCTTCAGACTGGAAATCTTAGCAGCTTGGGAAGTAGGAGGCAGGGTAGCCGTGGAACAGAAGAGGGGAGGTATCAGATCTGCTGGGGCTGGGATTCTCTCTAGTCATTGGCCCCCAAATGACCGGGGTTTGGTTTCTAGGGACTGAGTGAGGATAACAGAGACGTGTGCCTTTCTCCCCTGTTCCCATACACCTGTTTGAGTCATGTATGCCCTCAGGAGACTAATCCTCACTCTGAGCAAATCTCTCTGCCCTTTTCTTCCGTTCTGTTTCTCTATTTTACCTCTATGTGCCTCTCCCTCTTGTGGGATTCTTCTTCACCTCTCTAAATAGCTTGCTCGCTTGCCTCTCCAACACCCCAGGTGTCGCTGATCCGTGCCCATTCTTTCACTGCTTCTGTTGACACCTGGAGAGGCGGGGTGGTCTAACAAGCCTCAGAACAGGATCCCAGAAGCAAGCACCCTCTCTATCTCCGTCTCCCCGTCAAGGCATCCCTTCCCAAATGGTCCTCATCTCGAATCCTTAAGCAGAAAGCTCCATATCATTCTGTGACCACTTTCCTGTGATAAGATCTTTCTGGGTAGGACCATCGGGATCACAGTAAGGAGGATGGATTAGAGTCCCTGAAGATGGCTTCAGTCCTACCTGATACATGTTGGTGGGGAGGAAGATGGCTGTGTGACCTCAAAGTGCAGGTGAAACTGGAAACTGGGAACTGTTTACTGTAAAGCAAAAGGGACACGGGAGGCTCACTCTCCTTTCCCAGGATCTGTCCAGCTTCTGCGTCCTCTGTGATGTTCTGTTTGATCCAATTCTGACTATACCCTCCCTCCTCCCTGATCTGTATCACTAGCTGCCAGCCCGTCTTCCAGTCCCATCCTTAGAAAGGTAGGCTCCTAAGACCCAGAGGGGACTATGCCTGGTGTATAGACCACTACCAATCCCTGAGTATTTAGGGGAAAACATACTACTCCCCTTTGGCCTGGTACAAACTTGACGCGGCACCAGGGAGATGGTTGGAGCTGGTCCAGAGATTCTCATCAACTCCCTCTTCCCTGACCTCTTGCCTCCCCGAGGGACCCTTCTGGATTCTCATTTCCTTGTCTCAAAGGTGCAAGGCAGATAGAGCTCCTGGTCTTCATGAGAAGGGACTGATATCTAGTCTCAGAGACCAGGGCAGCCTAGAATCCAGCCTTGCCTGGGTCATGGGTTTGAAGCTAAGAGAGAAGTCTGGAGATCATTTGCCAGGTTCTTTTCTGGCTTTGTGTTCTTTCCTGTAAATACATATGGCTGGACTAGTTGAGCGTTTCTCAAAGTGGGGTGGGCTTCAGAAACACTAGGGCACTTGTTAAAATGCTGATTGCTGGGTACCTGCACCTATGAATTCAATTCAGTAGGTCTGGGATGGCTTGCAGGAAGGAACCTGTGTTTTTACAAGTATGATGGATGAATGCAGTGCATCGTCCAGTTTGTGACTGCCTGAACTAGATGCCAGATACTGCCTCTCATAGCAAAGAGCTTCTACGGTCCTGTTTCCATTTAATGGAAGAAACTGAATGGGGAAGTGATTTGGCTAAAGTCACATATTTGGAAGGCCATAGAACCTGGTCTCCTGCCTCCTAGGGCAGGATCTTTGAATTGCACCTAAGAGTCAGATCCAGGAAGATACAAGGAGGGAGAAGGTGGGGCGGGGGGGGGGGGGGGGGGGG